TCAAGTTTCTTTGTCAAGTTTTTACTTCTGCCATGGCAATGGGGAATGAAGTACTTTTGGGATACACTATTGGACGCGGATTTAGAAAGTGATATCATTGGTTGGCAATACATCTCTGGTAGCTTGCCAGATGGTCATGAACTTGAGCGCCTCGATAACCCAGAGGTATGTTATGTTGTTGATGTAAATGTCATAGTAGATGATGTTTCTTGGCATGGCTTTGTTTTTTCTATTATTTTTATGGCACAACCACAATAGAAGTTACGAGTTCAGCAGAATCCAGTAGCTTTGACTAAACTCTATGTTCATAAACTTAAAACCCTGGATCCGCCTCTATCAAGAGATGGCATAATCATGCCAAACTCAAGAAAACATACCTTTTTCCTTCATTCAACTAGACATTTTCGACTCTATTTATGAAGGCCTTTTATTGATATTAAGAAAAAAAACCGCTCTTTTTATACCTAGTAAAAAGCATGGTGTATTCTTGGGATATTTAGTTGATCAGTCGTGAGCTTATTTAAGTTCCATCAACTCTTCATGCAGGTTCAAGGATTCAATTATGATCCGGATGGTGAATATGTGAGACATTGGCTACCTGAGCTAGCAAGAATGCCGGCTGAGTGGATCCATCATCCTTGGGATGCACCACCTAATGTGCTCAAAGCTGCAGGGGTGGAACTCGGAATGAATTACCCGAACCCCATAATTGATGTAGATGTTGCGAGGGATCGTTTAATGCAAGCTATAGTTATCATGAGAGAAAAAGAAGCAGCTGTGAATGCTTCAGATGCAAGTGGAACCATTGAAGTTGTGTTTGATAACTCGGAAAATGTTGGAGATTCAGCCAACATCCCAAAGGACGACGTTGTAAAGGGAAAGGGGCCTTGCCCGAGCAGTTCATCTTATGATCAAAGGGTGCCATCAATGCAAAATGTATGCACATATAAAAAGAGACCAAAGCCCGAAGAGGATACAAAGAAGCTCAACGATAACAGGCTTAGCTACAAGAACGAAAGGATCAAAATGTCAAACGTGGACGGTGACTTGTGCTCTACTGCAGAATCCTCTTCTATGAAAAAACAGATGACCGTCAGCAGAAACTCATTCTCTGTACCTCGAACAATTACCATGTCTCATGACAGAAAATCCTTTGATGACGAAGCATCATCACATGTGAAGCTACAAAAGGAAGAAGAGATTGACACAGAAATCAATTCGTGCAAAAATGGTAAGACACAAACACCTTAAGATTGAGTTTTTGTTTGTCTATTTAATTGTTCCATTCAAAACAGGAGAGCTTAGCTTCACTTCAATCTCTCGTCTCGTCTCTGTTCTAGTTTCAATCATCATGACCGGACCCTGTGTTCTTTGACATTTGCAGAAGCTACAACGCGATGATTCCCTCACCATCTCCAAACATCTGCCTCTTTCGAAAATGTTCAATAGGAGACATATAGTTGAATCAACATATGCAGTGGAATGACGATATTCTGTTGAACATTTCTTGGTGTAGATATAACTACCTCTTAATCGTAGCAAGGTTGTAGTTTGTTTGACATAGTACGTGATAGAACTCATCGTGAAGCAGCTCAGATTCATGGTTTAATCTCTGCTTTGTTTAGTTAAGCCATGCATATGTAATCTTGAATATGGAATTTCTCTAGTATTTTCGTAGTAATAAAAGATGAAAAGAGGTCACCTAGTTTTGAGAAAATGATAACACATTCTACTTTGGGTATGAAGTGCTTGTGTATTCTTATAACTAGCTAATCTACCCGCGCTTGGTGCAATTGGGTATTGATGATATTGTCAAGCTTAAAAATAATCCTTTAATTATATACAAATATATAATAACTTCTAAGTGTGAAAGCTATCTTGGGAAATTGGCACTACTAGAAATAAGGGTTTCTCCTACCATGAATCAGTAGGAAATTTGTATTATAGAATGCAATTGTTCCACTAATTTTCCAGCGAATCAGTTCACTGAGAAAATATATAGTGGGAAACACATTCTTATTGAAATAGCGAGAGACTTTCTAATTTTGTTTTTATATGAAAACATTACTATCTTTTTAATTTTTTCATCGACTCATCAAAATATATATGAAAATAGCCACGAAATATTTACCAGCGGGAAAATTCATGTTCAACTATAATTTCAACTTTTTTATTTTAACTTTAACTTCAGATACTTTTTTAACTTTTCAAATTTCAACAAACTCATGTCGAGAAAATGGTCTAACCCCCCCCCCCCTCCCCCATCTATATTTGATTTCAACTACACACTCTAACTAACTTCAAGGGTGTCCTATTACCCTGAACATTTTAAAAGTGAAATATATACCCCTTAAAATTTATGTTAAGTAGTGAGATACACTCGCCTGCCACATCATTTTTTTAGTAAAAAAGTTATTAATTTTTGTCTTTATTTTATATTTTCCTTTCTCTTTTTTTCTTTTGTTTTTAATCCTCTTTTGACTTTTCTTTGACACCAACTTTTTCTCCATTGATATGAAACCTAGAAGCACATTACCTTCTTCTTTCTTTCTTCTTCTTTATATGTTTTATTTATTTTTTATTTTATTTTCTTTTCATAATTTTAGTGAATTTTCATTCAAGTAATAATGATAATATCGTTGAATCGAATTTGATTCTGCCAACCGAAGAATTAGATGGCAGCATTGATAAGTTCGTGTGGTCAAGTAGTTTCCGAAAAGTGGGTTGCATATTGGAGTTGGATATGATGGCAAATTTAAAGTGAATTTGTGATTTGAAGTATAAAAAATTGTTTTTGCTATTTTTAATTTCGTTATCATGGTCACTGTCTACGAAAAGTATTTTTTAGCATTTTAGAAATTAATCTATCCGTCTCACTTTTAAATATTTCTTAATTTGCTATTACTCAAAATTCAATAACAACACATACTATGATAGATATGGAAAAAAGAGGTGAAAATAGCGGTATGGCAATGGTAAACTTAGTATCTGAGAATGAAAAATTGAAGTTTATGATTAAAAGAAGGAGAGTTGATTTCTTTTGGAAAAAAAGAGAGGAGAAAGATATGATTAGTGATAGCTGAGTAATGAAATAAGTTTATGGCATTTTTCGGAGAAGTTTTGAAGAGAAAAAGAAAGAAGAAAAAAAAAATTAAAAAGAAAAGATAAATAGAAGTAAAAGATAACATAATTTAAAAAAATAAATAAATTAGAAACTTAATATGAAAAAGGAAAATTACTTGCAAACTTTAAGTTTTAATAAAAAAAAGTGTCTCTCACTCTCTTTGAGAAAGTGAATACACTTTCTTTGCCACCTCAGCATATAGGGTGACAATAATTTTATTTTAAAATAATTCAAGGGTGTAATAGAATCATCGTGAAGTATATGTGTATAGTTGAAAATCTAGCTATAGGTTGGGGAGACTTTTGGCCATTTTCTCAACTCATGTCCATGCCTAAAGGGTTTCTAAATCAAGCAAAGGTAAGTCTATTCTCAAACTTTAATTTAATATTCCTTTCTTTCCAAAATACTTGTTACAATTTTATTTTCAAGAGTCAAATTATATGAATTTTGATTAATATTTCAAGAAATATTTTTCTATCATGTTGAAAAGATAAAAAGTGTAACTTATAGTATTTTTTATATAGACATTAAATATCTAAATTTTAATTTTAAAATATTGAATTAATCTAATCTAATTTAATTTTAAAAATTAGTCAAATTAATTCTGAAAAAGGAAAACGTGACAACTATTTTAGACCCCAAATATAGTTCTTAATATGGACTTGTTTCTCCAAATATTTTTTGTTTCTTTATTTAGGAAAAAAAACTGTTGTTTTATGCATAAAAGTATGATTTTTTCTCTCTTTAAATACGTCTTTTACAAAGTAACCCACCGTTTATTCTATTGAGTACAAATTGCATTTCATTGTTTGATGTTAATACCTAAGACATTAGAAATAAATTGCTGGACAAAACTCCATTGATTATGTTTAATCGCCCTTAGATTTTATTTTATTTTTCTATAATGATAATGTACAAATTAGTTTGCATGCAATTTGGATCCGACCCATTTCATTTTTTACCTTGAAAAGAATTTATATATTTGTAAACTACCTAAAATGTACTATAAGTCACAATAATTGATAATTCAAAATGTTTAAAAGATTTACGAAAAAATTATGGTAAAAAATAAACTTGTTTGAATCTCAAAATTCGAAAAGTGTCACATAAAATGAAACGGAGGGAGTATAAGTTTATGACAAACATAATTTTGTTTCTTAGTGATTCAAAAAAGGGATTTGGAGCAATACTTTCGATTTGTGATTGTACTGTACTTTGTTTATTACTTACAATTACTTCCTTTATCTTGATATAATTATCATGTATTTTGCTTTTTAAAAGTTTAATTTGATTTTTTTTTTCTCAACAGCGTTAAAAATAAAACATCATCCTATTTTTTTGCTATTGTTCGTGAATTAGTTATTCTCTCTTCACTTTTACTTGTTGTGGCCTTTACACACTAGTTAAGAAATAATGATTAATACTCTTCCCATCCTTATTCAAATTTTGACTTGACACATTTATTAAGAAAATAGTAATTCGTATAATGAATTTACCATTTTATCTCTATTAATCAATAGGTTCCAAATATATTTATTCAATACATTTTCTAAATACATTAACTCAATATTAATAAATTAAAGGTATAATAGGAAAAATTAAACTGTCCTTTATTGATTTGTTAAAAATGACAAGTAAAAACGAGAAATCAAATTATGAAATATTTGCTATTAATTTTAGTTTATGTGTACAAGTAATAATGTTAAGGGAAAAAAATAGGAAAATAATAATTGAACGTTCGAAAAATATAAAAAGAAAACCAGATGGCTAATTTTGATTGGCCGAAAGTGATTCCAAAGAATATTCCACTCTCAGTACTGGTACTATATAAGTCCATCAGAAAGAGAAATGTGAGTGTTCACGGAAACGATGAAAACAGAAAACGTTATGAGCGAGGAACTGAAGCGAGAATATCGTGTGTGTGAGGAAATAGGGAGAGGACGATTCGGCGTCGTTTTCAAGTGTTACTCGCCGGGAACCGGCGAGACTTTCGCCGTGAAATCTATCAACAAGCTTCTCATCGCCGATGACTCAATCGATCGTCAATGTCTTTACAACGAAGCTAAAATCATGCATTTGGTTTCTCCTAATCCTCACATCGTTCGTATCGTCGATGTCTGTGAAGACGATACGTACCTCGATATCGTTCTCGAGCTCTGCAACTCCTCAGATCTCTTCCATCGACTCTCTACTCAACGAGTTTTTTCTGAGTCTGATGCCATTGCCGTTATGGTACTCTTTCAGTCCATTACACAAATTAGGGGAAAACGATCTGTGAATTTTAGTGCACTTGTGTTTTTGTAGATTCAAATTAAATGATTTTGACTGAAATTTCTAAAATGTAGTACTACTTTTCATCGAAAGTTTGTCAAATTGATGATTAAATAAGTGAGAGTAGTAAATGAGGTGTGATAAAGGGAGGAACAGGATTGATGTAGATAAGATAGGGTTTTCTATTGTTTGTTGTCTTCAGCATTGATAATTTTTGGATCAACTGTTTTTCTAGGTTCCATTGATGGAGGCAATAGCGCATTGTCACCGGCTCGGCGTAGCGCACCGGGATATCAAGCCTGATAACATTCTGTTTAACGACTGGAACGATCTGAAATTGGCTGATTTTGGCTCGGCTCAGTGTTTCTGCGAAGGCGAGCTGATGAGCGGAGTGGTAGGGACGCCGTATTACGTGGCGCCGGAGGTTTTAGCTGGAAGAGATTACAATGAGAAGGTAGATATTTGGAGTGCTGGTGTCATTCTGTATATAATGTTGGCCGGAATCCCGCCATTTTACGGTGACTCTACGGAGGAGATTTTTGAGGCTGTTCTCAGAGCGAACCTTAGGTTTCCGACAAGGATTTTCCGATCTGTGTCGCCGGCGGCGAAGGATTTGCTACGGAGAATGCTATGTAAAGATATTTCTAGAAGATTCTCAGCTGAACAAGTCCTTCGTAAGTATCACCACTCTATCATTCTTCTAGCCTCGATTTTTTCCTAGATTACAACATTCATTTATTTGACCAAATCTTTTAATCACAAATTTAAAATAATTAAATTAAGGCATACCTATATACTTAATAAAATAATTATTCCCTTAATCTAGGATCAAATAATTCAAATTGAAGTCTAGTTTGGACTTGAATTCTTTTAGGATTTAGGATTCTACCTTTGTGCATTCAACAACGGAATTGAATTTAAAAAAAAAAAGAAAAGGAGAGGAAAATGAGATTTCTTTGCCTCTACGATTTGAATAGAAGAAAATGACATTTTTAATTTTCTTAGATAAAAAAACGAAGTACTCTACATATCATTCTTAATCCATTAAAAATTTGAGCATAATTTGGGCCACGAATCATTGACCTACCTAAATTTAGGCGTGTTGGACAGATCATATTTTTATGAATTAATTTTATCTTTAGTATATAAAACTTTTAAAATGTGTGATCACTATAAAAACTTTTGTTTTTGAAATGGTCTAAAAAAAATTTGTGGTTCAAATTTCAATGCATATAATTTGAAAATTTTTAAATATTAATTTAGTTATTTTCTTGGTTAATAAGATGATATATAATAATACACAGGGCATCCATGGATCACTAGCAATGATGGGACGAAAGAAGATGGTGTCGTAGCTTGAGAATTTCGACCCCTTATTTGGACCTCTAATCCAACATTATCAATAGATGTGCAGATAACTCATACTTCTTAGTAGTGAGAATGAAGTATAATGGCTTTTTTCCCCCGATTTTCCACCCAGTGTTCAGTGTCTGCATTGGAGTTCCGACTAAATGCAGGACCCATTTGGGGTGACGCACCCAACATGATTTTCTCCATTTCCAAAACTCGAATCCGAGACATCTGGTTAGGGTGAAACAGTATCACCCACTGCACCACATGCATGTTGGTAGTATTAATGTGTTAAAGTAGTATTAATCAATTAAGAGACTTGTCTTATATATCTTCTACCAAAATATATGTGAAGTTGTGAATCATCAAACTAAGTGTTTCCTTTTGTTATATTTTGATCTAACTTTTCATACAGAGATCGTGAGCACTAAAAAAAAGATCAGCATGCATGAATTAGTTCTCTTTTACTATCAACCACAATAAGTTGACAGTTTTTCAACTGTATGAGATAAAGGCGCACACATGATTTTTTCCTACTTTAACAAGTTTATTGGTTTTACTTTTGTTGAATGTAATTTCAAGTAACTTTAAGATTAGGTTTATATATACAAAAACCCTACAGAGAATTGGGTCTAGTTGGATAGAGCACAATGACCATTTTTAGCTTATTTCAATTCATCTCATTTCGTTCCAGTAACTTTTGGGCCAATTTTAGTTCAATTTCTCTATTTATTTCCGTTTATCCCGTCCATAGGACATCCCTACTCATTTGTTTTCTCCCCAAAAAAAAGTTGAACTCTAAAAGAGAAAGAAAAATCAATCATCTCAATTTTTTTTAAACTCTTACTTTATTTTAAGTTATTTATTTACTTGGTGGATAAGAACATACGCTAGATCAAAATCTTGTGAAATACATCTCGATCATTTTTATGAATTTAAGTCCTCAACTCGAATTTATGTATGTATGTAAGATTCATATTATCTTTCGTTTCGAATGTATTTTATATGTAAATTACATTGAGACACTCATAAAATCAAACGAATTACACGTGCCATGAAATTAACGCACTCTATTATCTGTGTTGTTCAATTACAACAACTTAAAAAAAAACAAATAACTTGACACTCCATTGAGAATATTTTAACAATCTATTCATAAACATACAAAAATTATTATAAAAGGGTAACACTACATCTTAAATTTGAAATTGGGAAAATGAAGAGAAACTATAATGAAGAAAAGATAGATGCAATTACAATAACTTGAAAAAAACATATCTATTATTTTGGACATTTGGAGGGACTATTATAGTAGCATACACAAATAGATTTATTTTGTTCTACATCATGTCACTCTGAATTAAGATAGAATGCTCCATAATCTGAGACACAATTTGTTTGGCAAATTGTAAGTTCTTGAGAACAAGGAAGCGATGCATTTGATTGTGATGAACATACTAATTGAGCATTAGTTGTAGAGAGAACTTGAGTCATCACAAACATGGCTGCAAAATCAAGTAATAGAATTAATGTTGCTATGAAATAGTATTCTCATAACACTCGTAGATTAGATAACAACGATGTTTGAGTCAGCTTATATATATAATAGACATCCAAATAGAGTCAATTTTACTTGTAATGAAGGATAAAAATAACTTGTTCTTTTTTTTCCCGCGTAAACAAGAGGGATGTTTTCAATGTAATGGGAAAGGATTTTAAAATTAGGTTTGGTTCACAAGTTTAAATCCTATGACGTTCTAGTATCTTTCTGAATCGTCTAATTTGAATTGTTGGCATCGTCACTATAAATCACATTCTTCTATAATTTACATTCCAGTTCATTGACCACTAGACGACTTTTTTTTAAGAGAAGAGATTTGGATATTCATTTCGAGCTTGTTATCTCTTTTTCTTACTTTTAAAAAATATATATGTATATATTTAACAAAAATGAAAAGACATATTCGAGTTGAAAAGTAAAGCATATAGATGATATATACATACCACAAATGTAAGCAATGGAAAAATTGAAGCTAGGGAGAGACACACCAAAGTTCTCCATTGCAGAAATTAAGTGAATAAAATAATCATTTCACTTATCTTTTATACTAGAACTACAAATAAGAGATTGTAAAAATAAGATATAATGCATCCTAATATAGAAATTTCTTGATGAAGCCCAATTTAGAAATGCCATAATTATTTTGACAAATGTAGTATTAAAAGGAGGATTTCCTTGCAAAAATAATATGGAAAACTATTAATTGTACAAATTCAATCTTATACTATATGTTATAATGTAAAAGTTTATTTTTTTTTATAAAAAAAAAAAGTTTATTTTTTCAAAAAAGAGTTAGTAATTATCTTTGAATAATACTATATGTGTTTTTCAATAATTGTACAACATTGAATCAGTAGTATCAAATGAATAATTGGTTTTGTGAGCTTTCGATGTGTTATTTTTTGTTGAGTCATCTAATTAGTTATAACCAATCTATGTACGCTCCCCAAAGTTTATTTGACTTACCCCTAATTTATAATATTTCCTCGCTTCAATTTATGTGATGTAGTTTGACTTGATATGAAATTTAAGAAAGAAAGATTGATCTGAAATATAAGCAATAGTAGATGTTTGTGTGACTATAAATTATTTTTTTTAAAAAGAGTATAAATTATTTTTATTAAGGGTAAAAGGGTAAAATCATTAATATTGACTAATAGTAGTCAAAATAATCATGAATTATCCAAATCTGATTTCTTCAGATAAACTCCTATAATGATGAATTATTTATATTATTTTCTTACATTCTCTTAAGTTATAGCTATGTATAAAAAAGATAAAGTTAGATGAATACTTTATTAAAACAAAAATTGCTTCAATGGAGAACTTTGGTATATTTTCCTACCGTTTCAATTTTTTCATTGCTTATATTTGTGGTATGTTTTAGCCATATGCTTTTTTGGCTTTTCAACACACGTTAGAGTCTATTGAAAACAATCTCTCTACTGCTAAGGTAGGCCGTAAGGTACGTGACTCTCCCGTACACCACTTTGTACGTAAGATTTTATACACTGGATATGTTATTATTGTTACATACGTACGTCTTTTTTGTAATACTAGTTTTTTTATATTAACTTTGATTTTGTAGTTATGTTCGTGATGATTCAGGTTCTCTATACAAGTACTAATGTAAATAGATTGTCAATCACAGACTAATGTTTCTCTTCCTTGTACTGAAGAAGAACCAATTTGCCAATCCAATTGTGAAGCAAAGTATGAGAGATTTTATATTACTTCACAATGTCTTATAGTAAAAGGCAATGCAAAAATATCAATTTGTGTGTGTTTCTATGATAATGACAACCCATATCCAAATTGAAACTATTTGTAATTTCACTTATTATGTTTCAAAGTATGTTCTTATTTATTGAAATCGATTTCTGATAAATGTTCATATGATTTATGCTAGTGTTTTTTGGGTTGAACTCTCCAATTTGGTCTATAATATAGGTATCAGAGTCGGTCGATCCACGTATAGGGCCACGACTTGGAGTGATGGGATCCAAGAAGGGTGCAAGCCTGCGACCAATGAGGTCAATAGAAATGTTTTATACTTAGCATTATAAGCTAAATGGTCTCTCCCACCTATTAGACTCTCTTGTTTGATTTATAACATTGGTATCAGAGTCGACCAATCCACAGGACTGCGACTAAGAGAAGTGGGTTGAACCCAAGATGGTTACCAGTCAGAGGTGGATCCACGTGTCCTCTTGAGAGTGCACGTGCACCCATTAACTCTAAAAAATTATGGATGCACTGGTTTAAATGTTGCAAAGGGGATGACTAGTTTCGCACCTGCGACCAATGGTGCAAAGTGAAGTTCAAACCACCAATCCACAAAGCAAACTTTATCAAGTAAAGTTATTTAATTCATATTTATACGTTAGTACATTAATGCTGACATGCTATTAGGCAGGCCAAGCAAGCAACAAGGGACATGTGGTAAGTTTAGTTGCCTTCTCTTAAAATTCTAATCATGTTGATGTAAAAAGTCTTTGTAGCTTTTATCCAAGACAACAAAGCCAAGACAATAAACTTGGTACGTTTTTCCAAAGGTATATATATATATATAAAATAAAGTCTTGAGTCTAATTTAAAAAGAATCTCTTTCTCTCTTTATTTTCTTGTTTTTTTCTCTTCAATTTTACTAAGAAGACAAATTATGGTATTTAAATTGTCAATGACTGAAACAAAAGGCAACCTTTTTTTTGTTTTTGTGTAGGGGAACTTGAAATCAATCTTTTTCAAGTTGCGCTTTGAAGGATGACTTTTTTTTTATTCATTTAAAGTCAATAAAATATATTTTTAAAAATTATAAGATATTGACGATGGTAATTGTGGGATCCGATTGATGGGGTGATTGGTGGTAGTGTTGACTTATGATAGTTACGTTGTTGTAGATAGTAGTAGTTAGTGGTCATGATGACGGATAGTAATGATTAATGAATTGGTGGAGATGGTTGATATTATGAATTCGTGCTGCATGTGAAATCAATCATGGATATTACATCATTAATGATCGATTTGTCTATATTAAACCCTTTTGAGCTACGGTTCTTTCTAACCATGTGTGAACTCAAAATACTTGGGTAGAATTACATACTCTTTAATGATTACCTTGCATTATTATTTCTTATCACGACATACACTTAGAGAATGAAATCCATAAAAGATTACCACCATAGATTGCAATAAGCTACGAACTTTTCCAAAAAATAGAAAGGTTAATTTTACTATACTGAATGTTTTTATTATAACATAAAGAAAATCAAAAGCTCCTGCATCAAAGATTAGCAGAATTACACAAGAAAAAAAAAACCACAAAGCAAAAAAGAATAGATGATTATTTCATCATAACATACAAAAACAAGAACATAAAGCTTACTAAAAAGCCTCAAAACTCTTGCTATATCGATCTCATGATGTTAAAAGGGCACATTTATGTATTAAACTGGAATCGTTTGTGCATTTTCCACCTTAGTTATTTCCTCTTCTCCTTCATTTTCCTTTGACATTTCTTCCAATGATTTTCCTTTTGATTCTGGCACTAATAATGTGAACAACATTCCAAGAAAATTCACACAACCTAACACAATAAGTGCATTTTTCACACCAATTCCAGTTGGATAACCCGCGTCGACTTTAGTTGGATCGGTAGATTGAGCAGCATACAAAAAACCAAATGCACCAACAATTGCACCAGCTTTCCCAGCTGCAGCTGATATCCCGTGGCACGTTGATCTCAACCTAGCTGGAAAAATCTCCGCGGGTACAACAAAAGTTGTGGCATTTGGACCAAAATTCGCGAAGAAAAAGGTAAGTGAGTACATCACCACAAAACCAAATCTGTTTTCCTTTTTAGTCCAATGATTATATGGTATGGCTAACGCGAACATAAACACTGTCATGAAGAAAAACCCCATCAATTGAATTGCAAATCGACCCATTCTATCGATGAATGCAACAGTAAACCAGTAACCAGGTACAGTACTACATAGAGCAATAAGAGTTTGTGCCTTTGCAATTTTGAATACCTCATCCAACGCGTTCATTGTCTCTGGATGAGGTATCCATCCAATTTTACTAAATATATCCTTCTGAAATAGATTCTGACTATAAAAAGCGATATCTAGTAAAAACCATGTACTAGTTGTTCCAAGCAAATGCAGCCCATGACGATGAAGAAATTCCTTACTAAACAACCCGAAATTATTCCCCTGTATTGCAACAATCTTCTCAATCTTATCATCCTCTGCTTCAATTTCAACATTCAACACTTTAGACATATCGGAAGCAGCCTTAGTAGCATTCTTAGCTACTAAAGCTGTGTAACGCGCTGTCTCAGGCATCTTCATACGCCAATAATAAGTAAGCAAAGCCGGTATAGCACCAAACATGAGTATTATTCTCCATACAATATCAGCCTCTTGAGGGGTTGAGCCTTCATTATTGACAGAATAAATTGGAGCAGGGTACGCGTTTTTAAATGCACCACTAACAACAAGTGCAACAATCCCTCCTGCCAAAATCCCAAATCCTTGCATCGCGAATACTGCAGCTATAAAAGCTCCACGAGTCTTCTTATTAGCGTATTCAGACATGATTGTTGCTGATAAAGGGTAATCACCACCAATACCAAAACCAAGCCAAAATCGAAAAAAACATAATGTAGCAATCACACCACTAGGGGTCTTACCAAATGAAAGACCCGATGCAATCGAGCAAATAACCATGATCATGAGAGTCATTCCATAAACTCTTTTCCTTCCCATCTTATCACCTAGCCATCCGAAAAACAGCTGGCCCGAGAGTGTCCCAACAAACGCGACTCCATTGACTGCAGCTGAGATACCAGGAGGGAGAATTCCTGGCTTAGGTGCACCTTGATGATGATAGTAAATTCGACCAAGCAATTTAGTCACAAGTGAAATGCAGAAAAGGTCATATGCATCAGTGAAAAATCCCATTCCTGCTATCACAATTGCTGTAAAATGGTACAATTGTGTTTTAGCAACATCAAGAGCATTTAGTACTTGTAATTGATCTTTAGCCATAGCTAACTATAGTTTTACTAGTAATATTTCTCAAACTACTATAGTTTTTATGCTAAGATAAATAATGTAGAGAAGGGGCTATTAATATAATTGATTTGAAAGAATAAGACAAGGACAAGATTACAACAAGTTCAATTTTTAGAAATCCTTAATATTATCAACATATATATATATATCCTCCATCCATCCTAATTTATGTTACATTGTTTGACCGCGTGTGAAGTTTAATAACGTTTATGGAAAATATTAAAAGGGAAAGAATGATTGATATAACAAGTCGAGGACAAGATTATTACAACAACAACATATTCAGTATAATGCTATAAGAGGGTCTAGGGAGGATAAAACGTATGCAGGCTTTACCTCTACCTTTGTGGGGTAGAGACTAGAGATGTTGCTTCTGATAGACTCGAGGACAAGATTACAACAAGTTCAATCTTGGGAAATCTTTAATATTATTAAAAAAATATATAGTATGAAAGGTTTATGGTGTCATAGAAAGGGGTATATTCGGCCGACTTTGCATATATTAGAACAAGAAGGATAGTTGTTAGATAATTCCAATAGAATGCAACTAAGTTTTCTAAGTTTTTTTTTTTTTTTTTCATTGTTTAAGCTTATAAACATCTTTAGAAACAGCCTGTTCCTACTGTCACAAATTACTAATGCATGTCCAAATGTAATATTTGGCATAACACATAAACATAAACATGTTTTTTAATTTGACTTTATTTGATATTTATATCCTCTAATTTTGAGAATGCATAAGTATGTACTAAACTCATATAAAATTGAACAAGTAGACATATATGTCTTACATGATTTGCGTGAGATACACTCAAACTGATTTGTATTATGTCATGTAGGATGTGTTTGTCTACTTGTTCAATATATACGAGTTTAAGGGTCTACTTGTGCGCGCCTAAAGTTAGAGAGCATAAATGTCAATTGAGATCAAGTTAAAGAACATATTTATGTATAATGCCCTTTTGATTACCAACTAATTGTTTTTTACTCAATTACAAATTCACATGAATCTAATAGCTTTTTTTCAAGACCCCATGTGTATGTATAAAGAAATTCGCTAAATATCTATAAATATATAATGTGCAGATATAATTCTTTCATGCGTTTTCAACTGATAAATTATGTGTTAATATAACTGATACATGTTTGATACAACTGATATATGTAACTCTTTCATTGATACAACTCTTCCGCCCATACAATAATTGCAGCTACATTTTGTATTACACTCTAAACTATTGCTATTTATGAAACTTTTTCTTAATTTTACACGACTATAGGTTATACAAGAAGTCCATATAATACCAACAGAAAATCACATCTTTCAAAATCCAAATCAAAGAATATTCAGAATAAATTAATAATATGTGTAAACATGCCCATTCGTCAATTTTTTTTGTAGCAATAATGATAAAATTATAGACAAATCTTCATTGCAGACGCATAAAAATTATTGAATCATACAAAAATAGTGTTTAACCTTATAACTAATTGAGTTTAACAATAGTTTTGGACTTTCTCACTCTTTAATCTAAGTTAAAAAAATATTCTAAGTTAAAAAAAATAGAAGAAGGTTCTCTTTATAATAAGATTAATCCAATTCTAGTATGTTGAAGTTTTTGAATCAATCAAATCCTTTTCAGTAAAACGTGACATATTTGAATTATGATTGTTTTTATGCAAGAAATTAAATTCATTGCTAAGCTTAATTATTTTTGAAAGATCGATAGCGTACAAATAACGGAGATGTAGTATAAGTGTAACACTTGTGGCCCTTCAATTGACATTTTTGTTCTTAACGATAATACGCGTTCTATATGAAATAGACATACTAGAAAGAAAAAAATATAGTCTCAATCAATCAATTAGAGTGACATAGATTATTGACTATAGTAGAGATATTTACCTAATTTTCAAGATAGTAATTAACATCTTATAATGTGTAAAAGAATATATGGTTAACTTTTTTTTTTAATAATAAATAAAATAAATAAGAAGAAGATAATGAGAAATTTCTTGGTATTTAACGGCAAAAAGGTTTTGGCTGATATTACTAACAAGAATATTACCTAGGTGCGTTATTTAGTTTTTTTTTTTTTTCATCTGATGTCTAGTGTTCATATTGGAGCTCCGATCAAATTTGGATTGCATATAGCATGATTCATTTGGGAATGGTGCTCCCAATATGATTTTTTTTTTCATATATAAGGCTCAAATATGAAATTTCTGATTAAAGATAGAGCAACGTTTCGCCATTTGAGTTCGTTGAAGTTAAGATTAAGTTCCTTAAGAATACACAAGAAGAATATTCAATGAAAGAAGTACGAGGAGGAAAATACATGGAAATTTCTAATGTGGAAATTAATAATTACTTACTATATATGCCTAAGGAACAAATTAGTAATGAATTTGAACATTGATATAATAATGAGGAAAAAAAATTCAAATGTCTATATTATCTGAAATTGCATAATTTTATTTTTCATTACATTTTTAATATCCTTGTTATTTGTAAATTGTCTCGTATTTGTCCTTGCTGTTAACGGAATTAATTCTACCATGAAAACGTTGATTACCACGTACCCAAATTAGACCATTTTCTCAACTGATAAAAATTAAAATTAAAGAACATATACATTTATTAAGTAGGTTTAAAATATAAAAATATACATACACGAAGAAACTAAAGAGATTCAGCATCTACTGATCTATTTTATATACATACAAAATAACTTTGACCTTAATTATATATACAATATAACTTTCCGACAATCGTGTTTTGGGATGAACCCTGGCTCTGCCCCTAGGAAAGAATATTCAATGAAACTACGAGGAGAAATAAATTAATTATATTTCTAGTACATTATGTTCTTAATTAAATTTGGTTTAACGTAGAGATTAAGGAAAAATACTGTTTTTTTCTTGTAGATACAACGTAACGCAAGCTGTTCTCCCAATATTAAAATTTGATCATTATAATATAATTTGTCAAACATATGGACGAATCAGAGTCCAACATCTTTGTGATTGGATTATGTGGTATATATTCTTATATGATTTTGTACGATCTTTATCGGCTCATGATTTAACTTTTTGGAGTTTGATTACACCAATCAATATTCATTTTTTTATCAGACGTTGCGGCTCCAAACATACAATGAAAACTTGCATTGCATTCAATATTTATGAATATTTAGCGAATACTTTATTTTCAAACATATAATTTGAGCAAAAGCTATTATGTTATGTTCTAAGTTCCGTTTATGTCCGGTCCTGAGCATGCAAAGGGTGTCATAGTCCCACAACCGTTGTAAGTGAATTATTTTATCTTTCTTATATGATCTCGAACAATCTTTTTATCTCACTAGCAAGTTATTAATAATCACTTCTATCACCATCATTAATGTTGGGTTCATATTATAGCTATTGATATGCTTAACATGATTTCTCTTTTAAGGAAGAAAGCTTACCAATTTTTAATAGTACATTGAAGTCTGACTAAATCTGAATTCACGCTTAAAAATCTCACATTAGATGGGTAATGCATTTCCTAACAAAGATGACATGCACTATATCCCAGTAACTCACACTCGCCTGACTAAATTTGAATTCACACCTAAAAATCTCACAATAGAGGGGTAATGCACACCCTAACAAAGATGACATACACTATATCCTAGTAACTCACACTCGAGATCTCTGATTAAGCTTTACCAAGTTATGTTACACATGAAGAAAGAACATAAAAAGATAAGAGTCAAGAAATGTTTTATAGAAAGAGATGGACAACCAAAGAACCTCCTTTGGTTACTTTATATAATCTCAGAATTTCTGAGATTTGCAGAACTAAGGTAATAATGTTTAATTACCATCAGAAACAAACATATAAAAAAAAGGTAAGAGCTTATTCCATCTTATAACAAACAAAACAAACATCTCTTTCTAATCCCAAATACCACAAATTAACTCAAACTGCATCATAGTATATACTAATTGATAACTTGTCTAAAACTTAAACAGGAACTGTCCTTCCACTTGTTGCTCTCATTTCAGCTACAGTTTCCTCTTCCCCTTCGTTTTCCCTCGACATTTCTTCCAATGACTTCCCTTTCGATTCTGGAACCAAGAATGTGAACAACATACCAAGGAAGTTAACGCAACCAAGGACGATCAACGAGTTCCTCACACCAATGCCAGCAGGGTAACCAGCATCAGTCTTTTTTGGATCTGTGGGCTGAGCAGCGTACAAGAATCCGAATGCACCAACCATAGCTCCTGCTTTTCCTGCTGCTGCTGATATTCCATGGCATGTGGACCTAAGCCTGGCTGGGAAAATCTCAGCAGGGACGACGAATGTTGTGGCGTTTGGACCAAAGTTGGCGAAGAAAAAGGTGAGTGAGTACATGACCACGAAGCCGATTCTGTTATCCTTGAGAGTCCAGTGATGGTATGGAAGGGCTAAGGCAAACATGAAGACTGTCATGAAGAAGAATCCCATCAACTGAATTGCGAATCGACCAATCCTATCAATGAATGCAACTGTGAACCAGTAACCAGGAACAGTACTACAAAGAGCAATAAGAGTTTGTGCCCTTGCAATCTTGTAAACTTCTTCCAACGCGTTCATGGTTTGTGCTGGTGGGATCCATCCAATTGCACTGAAAATGTCCTTCTGGAAAAGGTTTTGACTGTAGAAAGCAATGTCCAACAAGAACCACGTGCTAGCAGTTCCAAGCAAGTGAAGTCCATGGCGACGGAGGAACTCCTTACTGAACAAACCAAATTCATTGGCTCCATTTGCTACAGAAATAGCTGCAACTTTCTCTGGCTCTGCTTCAATTTCGACTTGCAACACCTTGGACATGTCGTTAGCTGCCTGTTTCAAGTTCTTGGCGACCAAGGCAGTGTAACGAGCAGTTTCAGGCATCTTCATACGCCAGTAATAAGTAAGTCCAGCAGGGATTGCACCGAACATGAGAATTATACGCCACACGAAATCAGCCTGAGAAACTGTTGAAGCAAGAGCATCAACCTCATATGCTGGTGCAGGGAATGCTCCCTTGAATGCTGAAGAAACAATGATTGCCACCATTCCACCAGCCAGAATTCCGAAACCTTGCATAGCAAACACAGCAGCAATGAACGCTCCACGAGTCTTTTTGTTAGCGTACTCAGACATGATGGTGGCAGAAAGGGGATAATCACCACCAATGCCAAATCCTAGCCAGAATCTGAAGAAACAAAGCGTAGTCATAACACTTTTTGGTGTATGACCAAATGAAAGCCCCGAGGCAATTGAACAAATGACCATAATCATAAGGGTCATTCCATAGACTTTCTTCCTTCCCATTTTATCTCCAAGCCACCCGAAGAACAACTGTCCAGCAAGGGTGCCACAGAAGGCGACTCCATTAACAGCTGCTGAAACATTAGGGGGCAGAGAGCCAGGTTTCAATGCATTGTCATGATGGTAGTAAATACGACCAAGCAATTTAGTGACCATAGAAATGCAGAAAAGGTCATAAGCATCAGTAAAAAACCCCATCCCAGCAATCACAATTGCTGTGAAGTGATACAGTTGTGTCTTTGCCACATCTAGTGCATTTAGCACTTGCAAATCGTTCGCCATCACTAAACTTCCTGCAAAAACACAACAAGAGGGTGTAAATTATAAGAATTCAACTTACATCACTAACATAGTAAACATTTTTTAGCCTGTTATAACAAGGAACATACTTAGTGTTCAAGGTTACTAATCCCGCTTTACACTGTCAGTATACACAAGTTAAATTCAACTAACAGAACAAAACAAGAAGGTATTTTAGGATTGCATAAATCAAATCTGATCAGAACAAGAGGTTATGTAAATTATAAGGACTTAACTTACATAACTTATAACATAGTATACTTTTTTTTCACAAGAACGTATATTTTAACCTGTTGTAACGAGTAACATACTTATTATTCAAGGTTACTAATCCCACTTTTTACTGTCGCTTTACACTGTCGGTACACAGAAGTTAAACTCAAATAACATAACAAAAACAAGAAGATATTTGGGATTAGCATTAATTAAAGCTTATCTGAATAATTAATACTAATAAGTTTGTAAGCTGTCCTACAGGGGGTAGAGAATTGACTTATTGATAAAGAAGACAAAGTAAAGGGGACCACAAAAGTCTTGTTTTCTATCTATTTATTTTATTAGTTTTAATTTGACACATACTAGGTATGTGTGCTACTTTTCAAAGCTGGTGACCTAAAGTTGTGACATAGTATTATAAAACTATAGTGTATATGTGAAATCAATAAAGAACCTAAGCTTTTTATAGTCAAAATTAAGAAAAAATGGTTTAAAATCACATCAGCTATACAGTGCTTACTACTACAACAGTTATTTCCAAATAGGGATATACAGATTCCTTGAGATTCTGGCTGATGTTATCATCACAAACCGAACGTAATCCCGAAGTAGAGTCTGAAAAGATGATAGGGACCAAGTCGTTCAATCAGAACTCAATTCCGAGATCATTAACTCAACCTTGCCTCTACCTTGTAAAGATAGAGAGACTATTTCTCGAACAGTTGTGTTCAAAAAGTTGTGGCATGATTACATCACAAAGATACATAATTTACTTTAAAAGTATTAACAAGTGATGTTATTTTTTAACATATGGAGTGGTTGATATTAGTAAAAATTAGGTTTAAAGTTGCTATCAAAGACCAATAATTTAAGAGAAAACAAGTAAACTCCTGTTTTACTTATATAAAGTCCATGCTATGAAGTCATGCAGAATACACATATATATTTTTTTAAAAGATAGTATTTATTTATTTTTTCTTAGAAAAAGAGTGAAGACTTTTCAAAAAATAAAGGAAACAGCCTAACATCTACATGTGAGCCATAAATCTAGAAGACAAGTTAGTACTTTTCACAACCAGTGTATACTAAACAGAACTATACATATAGGACCATTCAAGTGTCTTTCATGATTCCCATTTTCAACAATCAAAATATAAACACTAGAAGAAACAAAACCTCATGTTACATCAAACTCACCGAAAATTTGCATATGAAATTTTAATTTTTTTTTAAATGAATGTGTAAACTACATAATAATTGACAATCCAAAATATTTAAAAGATATATGAAAAATTTATGAACAAAGATAAACTTAATTAAATCATGATATCTGAAATGTGTCACATATATTGTGACCGAGTGAGTACAATCTTTTTCATTTGGGAGTGTTTAGAAAAGGGGAAAATCAATTTCTTTAATCCTGAAACATTACTGAAACCAAATCATATAAAATGAAATCTTGAAAAAATCATCAAGAAATTATCAATTTGCTAAAAAGTTCATATTTTTAGATAAATCAGTAAATGGGTATGAACAAAAACAAATACCCATTGATCAAAACCTCCATTTCCACCATAATAAACAATCAAGAACTCATTTTTTTCACTATTTATCCATCAAAAACACAAGTGCATGGAGTAAAAACACAAGAAAATTAACAAAATGTAAAAAAGATAAGATCTTTACACTAACCTTACAGAGTTATCTTCAATTTCCACCAAAATCAAGAAGAAAAAAACCAAATTTCAGGATTTGGTTTTTTTTTTTTTTTACGTTCAAGATCTCCAACAAAAATACCCAAAATTAAAAATCAAACTTCGGGTTATTTTGCATTTTTATTTTTAGTTTCACTGAATCTGAACTCTCTTAAGAAAGTAATAACTGAGTATTTATGAAGAGAAATATGGAGAATTAGTGCCTTATTTAAAGGGAGTTTGAAAATGGCATCTTTTTATCGTATATTCTTCTACTAACCTTCTTTATAGGATTTGAACCATTCTGATCTTGCCACGTGTCTAATTAGGTCCACAAGTTGGTGTAATTTGTACACGTGCCATGATCAGAGAGGTTTTTGATTTGTTTTTTTATGCAAGTCAAAAGTCTCTTATAAGACACGTACTTCACCGGATCACCCTATTTTTAGTGTTGACCACACTATTTTTATTCTTTTTTTAAAAAAATGAATTTATATATTTTTATATTAATATATTATTTTAGTTGTGAAATTATACTAAATATGTTGTAATTGTTGTTTTTGAGACAAGGTAGAATTAAGGTATGGGTATATCTTACGCTTTACCAATTTTACTTATGGAATTATACTGAATGTGTTGTAGTTGTTGTTATTGTTTTGATTGGTTGAGTATTTATTAAGTGAATACTTAAAAAGTGACATAGTTTAATTTGAATAATTGTAATTAAAGCTATTAATTGTTTTTATAAAGAAATCTTGGAAAAGCTTGAAAGATGAGGTAGCATTAACTATTATAAGAGATCATTATAATCCAAAGTTATAATTGGGTAATTGAAATTATTTAGAGTTTCCATATTCAAATTTCCCTAAAAAATATTAGGGTTCCAAAATATTAAATGTAAGTTTATCTATAGACAAAATTTATTTATCACAACTTGTGTTTGTCGATTATAACAAATTGTCCGGTATATTAATCTAGGTGCTTGCATATTATTTTAGAATTGTATTATCATAAAAGAGGGTGTTTGCAGCAAATTTTAAACATATGGAAAAAATAAATAAATCACACAAATAAAATCTGAAGAAACATGAATATATTGATAAATATGCGGGTACAATTTTGTTCCTCCCTTGATTAAACTCTCCTAAGATTTATCCATGATTCGAGGGCCGTTAGTGACGTATTTCTCAAACTAGGATGATTTAGATTTGACCTCATATATATGGACATTCCATCAACTTATGAAATATTCAAGATCTTGATCTTTAAAAATACCCAAGAGTTTATGGGATATTTTGAGAAGCCTTTTAAGGGAATTTAGTACCCTTTATATAGGCATGAACTAGAGTTTAGGGTTGAGTAGTCTCCAAGAATTCTAATTGAAACTGAACACACCTTCTAAAGTCCCAATTCGAATTGAACACGTCTTGTAGAGTCCCACAAAATTTCAATGTCTACATACTATTCTCAATGAAACGATAAATTTGCCTAAAAATACCTAATTCAACGTAATCATACAATAAAAAGTCAAATAAATATTTGTGTATATAGTGTAAAAAATCCTTATATATATATATATTCAACTTAAATCCCAACTAACAATCCTAATATTTTGTTAGAAAAGTTCCAACTTCCAACGTACATCATATATTTCTCTTTTAGAAAAATATTGTGGCATATTTCCTTAGTCACTCATTTTTTTTATATATGGATATGTTAAGTGTGGTTGAAATTAAAAAAAATTATTTTATGATAGTCTTCGTTTACTTCACTATTTTTATTATTTTACATAAGCCTAGATGTATTTAATTTTCGAAGTCAAATTTTAGCAAGATATGATGAGTAGATAAATTGTTTTGATGGAGACAAAAATATATTTTTTAGAGGGAGGGAGGGTTTGAGGATATCATGCTTGCCAATCTTTTGTTAATATCTTAAGTCAAAGTATAATGCATTTACAAGTAATACAGTAGTAGTAGACATGTTGTGATTCTTGGCGGGTGAAATTCAATTATTAATCAGAGTCTAGGGTTTGGTTTTCGAAAATAGAAAAGAACCTTGTTGAGAGAGTAGATTAAAAAATATGAGCCATGCAAAGTGCGAAATCGGATATAGTTAAACCTTAATACAAATATCTGACGTCAGGTAGAAAATTAAAAAATAATGCTATATATTTGATGTGAAAAGTTGGTCTTTGACGAAAAATGTATTTAGAATATTTGAAAGTAAAACTTTGTGGGCGTTTCAACTTGCTTTATTTGGGGGGAAATGCACAAGTACCCCCTTAACTATACGCGAAATTTCAACGACACACCTTAATTATACATGAGACCTAATATCCCCCTCCCCGAATTATTTTAAAGTGTAATAAACTCACCTTTTCGTGCTGAGGTGGCACAGAGAGTGTGTAGTGTCTTAGAGGCATGTGAGATACGGAAAAAGGTATTAAAATATGATTAATATGGACACGTGTTCATTTTAAATTGGACATTTTATAATTAATTAGTAGAGATAGTTAATTAACTTTTAAACTTAAATTGATATATTTTTAAAATTAAATTTCTTTTTTTTCTTTATGAAATAGTGTCAAATTTTATCATTTAAATTGTTAGAGAATTCTTTTCGGTGTTTTTCATTAATTTGTATAGTATCGAGAGAATTTTTCTTATTTTTCATTTTCTACTCAAATAAATTACTTGAAATTCGCTAATGAGAAAAAAATTGCATATTAGGAATTTAATTTAGGCAACATATAAAGAGCATAATTTAAGTTCTCCATCAATAACACCTTCCCTCCTTCTCTTCCCTTCTCACTTCAATCAGCCTTTATCTTAATCCAAATTCAATCAGAAAAAAATGACCCCAATTTTGAATTCTTCTCGAATTAGAGTTCAAACTTTAGGTGGTTTCTTCAATGGAAATTTTGAACCATGTTTTATGAAATTTATTTGAATTGAAAGAAAAATAAAATTGATAGTAGATATTGAATCCGGTGGTAGTGAAGGGATAAATTTGGTGGTGGGTTATCATTTTCATGGTGATAATTGCTATGAGTTTTAATGGTTAAAATAAGTGAATTTAGTGGTTATGGAGTGGGTGTTGATAATGAAGAAGAAGGAATCAAATGAAATGGAATTTTCTATTTTTTTTTATAGATCTGATCATTTATTGACGTGGAGCTGACATAATGATGACTTGTAGGCGAGTGTAAAACACCTCCATCATGTGAGTGGCTATATAGGTTTTAGGTTGTGTTAAGGGTGTGTTTATTACACTTAAAAAATACTTCAAGGGGATAATAGGACTCATGTATAGTTAAGGCGTGTTGCTGAAATTTCACATATAGTTGAAGTAGGTACTTGTGCATTTTCCCTTATTTGGGGCTTGCGTTTGCAGATTATGACTATATATGGTATGAAAAGGTACTAAAAATGGGAGGAAGAAAAAGAAGAACAAAAAAGATTTATATAATTAAACTTTTGAAAATGAAATAAGAGTTAATGGTCAAAAATATGATTTAAATTGTCTTAATGTTCTGAGTTTCATATTTGAATTATTGGGAGTATGAGTTTCTCACCTCAACTATTGGTTATAAGGAAAACATACCTAGACATTTGCTAGACCAAATGTTGTCTACAAAAGCTTGTAGACACGTTTGACCATAAAATCTTCCATATATGGTCCTAAACTCCACCCTTTCAAGTCGGAGATATCAACGTCACAAGTGAGACAAGACCAAGACTAAGATGGTGGGGAGAGAATAAATTAATTTATATGGTGATAAATTTTAACATTTTAACCTTAACTTTTAACATAATTTTAATATATTTAGCTTTGCCCGCTGGAATTGATTTTCCACCTAGAGTGCCACGTGACAGAGTTTTCACACAAAAAATTGAGTGTAGTACACACACCATCATAAATTAGTCGAGATAAACGTATTTTGCTAATCATCGGATGATGGTTCAATAGAATTCACACTCTTAATAGTTTAGATATGAAATTCAAAAAACTATGATAACTTAAATATGTTTTTGACCCTTAATTAGTTCTTATTATTACCACTTGGAAATGAAAACCTAATTGATAAGAAATAAATTACTTTTAGTTACAAACACATATTCACCTTCATATTTTTTTGAGCAACTTTCACATATTTCAAACATAAAAAATCATATTTGTATGTTATATCTATAGTTTACATAATTGCGCTCCATAGCAAACTTTATGTTTGCTATGGCTATTAATATGTATATTTCGCTATACATATACAAAAGAAGCAATTGTATAATCTGTTTCGGTATACATATACAAAAAAATCATTGTATAATCTGTGTTTGTATAAAGCGAGAAAGAGAGAAAGACAAAAGAAAATTGGGCAGAGAAAGATCTGTATTTGTATAATCATAAGTGTATAGGACGAAAAATATATGTATATACAATTTTCTCTCGCTTTTATACAAAACACAAATGTATAAAATTGCGTTTTGTGTTTGTATAAAGACGAGAAGAAAATTGTATATACATATATTTTTCGTCCTATACACTTATGATTATACAAATACAGATCGTTCTCTGCCCAATTTTCTTTTGTTCTTTCTCTCTTTCTCGCTTTATACAAACACAAACGCAATTTATACATTTGTGTTTGTATAAAGTGAGAGAGGCGATGAGAAATTGTCCAGCGAGAAACGAGAGTGGCGAGCGAGAAATTCAGGGAGAGAAGCGAAATGGCAATAGTTTGCTATGGGTTACAATTAAATCAAATTGTGGTTATAGCATTTAATTTGAATTAATAGTTTGCTATTTTATACAATTTTTCCTATTTTTAAAAAAAATCACCTTTCTTTCTTGATTCTAATATTTTTCAAAAGATTTTATTTTTTTAAGATAATAACTATTAGTTCAATGACGTGAGAATTGTATGTTCATTTATCAGATTAATTCATCTTTAATCACATAAACTTTCACACTCAATCTTTTTAAATTACTGATCACCCTTAAATTAAACCCATTGTTTGCCGTTAATCCATTCTCCTGGTTGCATACGATAACTGAAAAAACTAATTTTAATTATTTTTTAATTAAAATGAGATAAGATCAATAGATACATTTTCTATACTAAGTAGTTGACAATTAATTAGTCGACTTAATACATTTTACTAAATTCATTTTAAAACAATTTAACATTTTAGTATCGCCGATTA